TGGTCCAGGGATGTTCTGTGCAGCTGAGGCTGGGCCAGCTCCAGCAGCCTCTGCTCAGGGTGCCATGGGGCATTTCCGCTGGGCTGCGAGCTAGTGGTAAAGACCCAACCATCATTACTGTGAGGGGCTGTCAGAGCCAGAGCTGCCCCCCCCACACACACACACACAGGACCACGGCCACAGCCACGCAGGGCCACTCGGTGCTGTCACTCGGGGAAGGCCGCTTCCTCTCCTGGAATGCTGTGTCCACCCCCCAGGTCAGGGGCCTAATGCCCTGGCCAGGGCAGGGCCACCCACTCCTCTCTCCTCCCCACTCTCACCCTGAGAGCACAAGCTGGCCTACGACCCCCAGATGGGCGAGAAAGTGGGCACACGTTGGAAGGGTGGAGATGGAGACGCCCAGAAACATGCAGGGTGGCCCGATGAGGCGAGCGAAGGATGGGTGAGTAAAAGGAGCTCCCAGGTGCTCAGGGCTGGCCGGAGTCACGCCTGGCCCAGGACAGGACTCCCGCTCAGAGGTCCCACAGCATTCTCTTGTCACAGGGCTTCGGAGACAGCACCGCGGGCGCCTGGTCGGGCAGGGGCAGGGGCTCCCTCTGCACTTCCCTAGCTTTCCAAGGTTTTCCTCTGACAGCCCCAAGCACTCCTCCCACCACCACCTGCCTGAGATCCCCAGCCCCCGAGTGGGCAGCACCTTCAACCCTGCCCCCTGCACACCTTACCCAGGCGGCATGGGGCTCAGCTGGGGTGGGGGTGGCCCTCCTTACAGGGATAGAGATGCCAGTCCTGGGAGCAACATTCCAGCAGCCCGTGGAGATGCGACCCCACGAAAAGGGGTCCTCGGTTTCCCAGGGGGCGTGGCCAAGAGCCCAAGACCCAGAGACAGAGACAAAGACGGAAACCAAGGGCACCTCTGAGGCAGAGAAACCTGGGCTTCCTCCTGCACGAAGCCAAAACTGAAATGCAAATTGGAAACTACGAAAGAAAACTCCTCTCTGAGCCAGAGTCTCCAAGAATCCCGGAGGCGAGCAGGAACCTCTGGGCAGAGCGGCTGCCTCAGGGTGAGAACCTGCCCGTGGCGTGTGCTGTGTGGATACGCCCACCGTGCCCACCAGCGGGGTGACTTCCGCAGCCAGGGCAGACAGCCTGGCCCGCAGCCCACCATCGCCCCACCGAGAGCCCCTCCAGCCTCACCCTCAGCCTCCCCTCTGGCTCCCAGCCTCCCTCTAATACACCTGCCCATGATGCAAGAACACAGGCCTAACAGGGCTGCTTCGGGCTCCAAATTCTCAGGGACTCCATGATCTCCCACCAGAAAACATCAGACTCCTCAGCCTGGCACCCAGCGGGTCCCACCCATCGGCCCCCTCCCCTCCCACCTGGTCTCCAAGGCCTGGAGTGAGGTGCCTCTTCCAGGAAGTCTTCCCTGGTTCCCTCCTCTCTCACACTCGCCGCCTCTGAGGCTGTGCAGCACCCAGGGCCTGAGCCACAGAATTTCCCTCGAGATGTTGCAAGGGCCTTGCCCGTGTTTCCAGTCTGTGCTGCCCAGCAAGAACACGAGGTCCTGCCCACTGCTCCCCCAAGCACACCAGCCAGACCAGCTTCAGGTGGCCTCAGGAGTGTGTCTGCGGCCTCAGCAGAGAGGAGTCCAGCTGCCCCGTGTACCCCGAGATTGTGCCCGTGGGCAGCGTTGCTCCGGGCATGGCAGGCAGCTGCGGTGAGAACCCAGCTCAGGGACCTCTGTGCAGCCCAAGGTCACCAGGGAGGCACGCACGCAGCCCAGAGACGCTCAGAGGCAGCGAGAGGCACAGCGGGACCGGGATGGCGCACACGCACCCCCCCCAAGTCAATAAGCCTAATTGGGTGAATGTGCCATCTCGGCCGGCTAAATTTAGCAAGTGTGTGTTTCATCTTCCACAAGCATCTGGTCTTAAGACATCCCGTTCTCAAGATGACGGCAGGATCTGCGATCAGCCCCTGCTTCCCACTCAGAGCCCCAAGCCTGGGGCAGCCGGGGGCCGGGGGCCAGCAGCTGATGGCCGCAGCTGGCCTGGGTGGAAGCCAGGCACTTCCTGTGGGCACAGGGGAAGGGGGGTGACCTGGACCCCAGTCCAAGGCAGGCTGACCCACCTGCCAGAGGCCCCGGGCATTTTGTTGTGCTAAGGGGGTTTGGACCAGAGGAGGGGAGGGGACACACTGGGAGGCCCGTCTCCAAAGCGCCAAAGGTCTCCAAGGGCACTGCAGCCCTCAAGAGTCATGGATTCCTGATCCACGCTTTCTTTGAGGGGGAAACTGAGGCATTTCCATCTAGGCCTGGCAGGACGGGGCGAGGCCTCTGAGCCGGGCCAGGTGCACAGCCACCTGCACTCAGGCCCATCAGCCAGCAGCTCTTCCCCCCACCGCCTTCCCTAGGCCCCCACACAGGGAGGTGCTGACACCCTAGAAGGTAAAGACGGACAGCTGTGCTCACACCCTGCCCAGGGTTCACGGTGACACGGAGCGTCGTGCAAAGGTGCTGAGGTTGGCCTGTTGGGTCCCAGAGCGGGGACCACCAGCAAGGCTCTGCCCTCCTGTCCCCGGGAGCCTGGTGCTTCTCCTGAAGCGGGGCTCTGGAGGGAGACCCTGACCACACTCTCTCAGGGCTAGAGGTTCGAACTGGTGGGCTGACCTTCCGGCCGCCGCCTAGAGCAGCGTCTAAGCTGCGAGTCACTAGGCCGAGCGTGAGCGCCGGAGGCACCCGAGCCGCACTGGGACCCGGGGGCTTCTACCTGCCCTGTGCAGAGCCAGAGCCGGGCTGCACCCTGCTGAGGACCAGGGCTCTCTGCAGGAGGACAGCCCGCCCCTGCCAAGGCCCGTGGTGCCCAGGGGAGGAAGGAGCCCAGAGCTGTCATGGCCCCGGGCACAGACGCTTCCCCAGATCACCCCCAGGGGAGGCCATGTGTCCCGCTGGCCCTGCACCAGGCTGGCCGGCTCTGGGAAGACAGCCGTGCACAGGGTCCCAGCACCCCCGCCGCCCGCCAGTGCGCCCAGGAAGCAGTTCACGGGAGCTTCCAACGGCTCGGCGCCTCCACGGAAACCACCGGAAGCCCAGTCCGAGCGAGACACAGCTCGAGTCTTTCCCGCAACGTTATTTATAACAGGAGCACTTAGAAGTTTCCTAAGACTCGTGATGGCCGCACCGCCGCATCCCCGAGCGCGAGGCAGCCATGGAAACTCAGCCCCAGAGAGAAAAGCAGAGGGTAGAAGGGAGCCTGGTGCGTCCAGGCCCCAGGGCTGGGCTTGAGCCGGACAGTGAGGAGGTGGCAGCCAGGCCACCGGGAGCACAGCTAGATGCCCGGCACAGGCTCGGAGGGAGGGGACGGCAATCTTGTTCCTTCCTCACATCTTGCTGTTTTTTCCTCTGAGCTGGTCTTTCTTTTATGGTCAGAAAAAAAGAAAACCAGCCCAGCCGACACAGAAGTCCCGGGGGTGAGGGGTGAGTCTGAACACACTTTGTCCAGGGAAAGCGCCCGAGTCCTGTGGACACACGCCTGTCACCCCAGCCACGGCCCCAGCCACATGGCCCAGAGGCTGCTGCCACCAAGGCACCTCCAGCCCCAGCTCAGTGAGGACACGGACTCACCTCCCAGCCTTGCAGGGACGGGAGGACACTGGCCAGGGCGCCAGAGCCAGCCTGTGCCTCAGCTCCAAGCCCAGCTGTGCCTCAGTAATTGCTCCCCCACCCCCCGTGGCCACTTGGTGCCCCAGCTGCCGGCCCAGACCACCCAGAGAGGTGCCAGGCAGGACTTGTCAGCCTCAGAGGCCCAGAGACCCAGGAGGGCGGCTGCTGTGCGTCGGGAGACCAGCAGCCCTGGGTGCGCTCGCTGTCCACCCCACAGAGACCTTGCCGTCTCTGGTCCCTCGGCAGGCCGGGTCCAGCACTATGTCCTGCCCTCGCCGGCCCAGCACCATCCTGGCCCCTCACTGGTCCTCCCTGAGCTGGGCCTTCGCTCCACCAAAGAAGCAGAAACCCTGCTGTGCGAGCCCACGTTAGTGACTGCGCATCTCTGAGCTGCTCCGTCAGCACCCTGATCAGGCTGGGCAGGGTGCTGCGGGAGGGGGACTCGTCAGCACCACGGGCTCAGCAGCATGAATGGGGCCGAGGGGGGTAGGGCAGCCCAAACAAGCCCCCTTGCCTGGGGGCTGGACATGGGCCCCCTTGGAAACGGGGGGCAGATACCCCCAACGCCTCCCCCCTCGGTCCCACTGGAGGAGACAGGGTGCCGCCGCTCAGAGCCCCGAAGACAAGGGAGCTGCCCCTGCCATGGCCCTCTCCCCACCTGACCCGCGGGGACTGCACCTCTCAGGGCAGCCAGGTGGTCAGCAACCCAGGGACTCCACCGTGACAGCTCCCCAAGGTGGCAGCGCCCAGGGGTACCCCCAGCACAGGCCTCCCTCCGCCACCCCGGCTCCTGTGGAACCACCCTCCCCATTCACCTTAGGGCGCATGCTGCCGGGGGCCATGGACACCCCTGACCTGATGCCCCAGGGCCTGCACCTCCCGGAGGCAAGACCCCAGGCAGGTGGGGGGCAGGCTGGGACCCGGGCGGCCAAGGGAGAGCCACTGCCCTCCCTCTCCCTGGAGGCGCCGGGGCCTCTCCCCGTCTGTCCAGCCCAGCCCTGCGTGGCCGGGCCCTGACCCGCCCCATGAGCATCTGGGACCCCAGCAGTGTCTCGAGGTGGGTGCTTGTAGATCCTGGTGGGGGCGCTGTCAGGGCCAGGGAAGGGCCCAGCCTGGGGAGCTCAGGCCCCTCCCCCACACGGCGTGGCCCCTGGTGCCTCAGAGCGTGGATGTGGCTGGCTGCAGCCACACCCAGCGCTGGGAGCCCACGTGCCAGCCCAGCCCTCCAGTCCTCCCACATCTCCCTCTTCCCCTGACTTCTGGGAGCGGCTCATCTGCGCTTCCCCACCCTGGAGCCTGTGGGGTGGGATTAAGTAGCTCTGACACCCCCTTCGTTACCATGGATACCAAGAACTGGGGTAAGCAGGCTGCACTGTGGGGGTGGGGGCTGTTCGTGGGGCCTAGAGCCTCCCCAGTGCTGCCCCCCTGCCCCAGCCCAGGGCCTGTCCACACCAGCCCCACCAGCTGCTGGCTTCTCTCCCGGCCGGCGGGCAGGGGCCAAGGCTGGGGCAGGACCAGCAGCTCCGCGGGAGCTCAGGGCCACACTCACTGCCCAGTCTGGAGAACGGGTCCACGCCCCGTCCCGGATGGTGACCGCAGGTCTCAATGGGGATGGCTCCGAGCAGGCACTGGGCAACGTCAACGGGCCCCAGGTGAGCCGCCCAACCTGGGTCCCATGGCCAGAAGAGACCCCAGGCCCACACCTCCTGGGCCCCGCCGTGACCTTCACCCCCACACACCCGCCTGGGTCTGCGGATCGGGGACAGAGCTGGCATCAGCCAGGGCAGGTGTTGCAGCTCCAAGGAGCCCAGGCAAACTTCAGCCCCAAACAGGGAGGAGCCTCCTGACCCTCAGGGAGACAGGCGTCCCCAGGCGGCCTCCAGGACACCAGGCCCCGCTTCCCAACTCCCGGCCTATCCTTGAGGCCGGGAAGCCTCCTATTGGTGAGCCTTCCAGAAGGACCCCCAGGGCCAGGCCAGGTTCCCTGTCCCTGCCCTCAGTCCAGCACCCAGCAAAGGCCCTGGCCGGACATCAGCCACCCAGCCATGGAGGTGGTCAGGGAGCATGGGGAGGGGACAGGAGCACAGGGAGCAGGGAGCAGGGAGGGGACCGCAGTCCAGGGTGGAGCCTTCTCCTCAACACCATCACCTCTGATCCGGTCGCCGCCCCATGCCCCGGACGCAGGCTCCCCACTGAGGGCCTTGCCTGTCCCAAGGCCTAGGGCTTCCAGGCCCTGGAGGAGGAGCCCAGCAGCCTCCTCTGCCCCATCCCAGCCCCACTTTTCTCTGGGTGTTCCTTCCTAACTGAGCTGCAAAGCGGGGGCCCTGGAGCCCCGGTGGGGGGCTGCATGTCTCTGAGCAGACATCGCCCCTGTGGCAGCAGAGACCTGTCCAGACCCATCTGGGGAATGTGGGAGGGACAAGCCTGGGCTGGCTGCAGGGGCGCAGGGGTGCAGGGGTGCAGGGGGCGTGAACACACGCGCACATTCACAGATCCATGTGGCACAGATCCGTGTGGCACACGCGTGCACATTGCAAATGCTCACTGCCACCGGCGGTCCTGGGGAGTCATCACCGAGTGAGCAGCATGGACCCCCCAGGGAGAGCAGGACTCGTGTGCGCACGCAGGCAGGCACCCGCCCTCTGAGAGGCAGGCCCGGCATCGCCCATGGAGCCCGCCCACGCTGGCTGGGCCTCATGCAGACCTACACCAACTCTGTACCTCACCCCAGGACCCTCCCTCTTTGATCTCCCCAACATCCGGGATAGCTTTTGAGGTCCCCTGGGCTGCTGTGTCCATCAAGGGGGAGCCAGGAGGAAACCCCTGCCCCCACACCCCCTCCACACACCCCAGCAGCCAGCGGCAGGCCCACAGGGCAGAGGGCCCAGCAAACCAGAAGCCCAGGATCCCTGGGCTCTCCCACACCAGCCAGGCTCCAGGGGCTCCCAGGCTAGACCTCAGAACCCGCCCCTGACTGGAGACCCCCAGGGACCCAACAATGCCCAGGCACCAGGCCCAACAACCTGGCACAGGAGAAATCACTCCTGAGATGCCCCAGCAGCCCGGGCCCCACAGTGCCCATGCTGCCCCCAGGGGACTGAGGACCCCCAAAGAGGGTGGCTCCTGAGTCCAGGGCTGGTAGGCCGGGGCCAGCGGGCAGACACACCACACATCCGTGGGCCTCAGCTGAACACAGGACAGAAAACAGCTGACTGTGCTGGGCGGGAGAGGACAGCCCTGCTCCCCGCCAGCCTGGGCCAGCCCGTGGCTCGTACCCAAGTGGTACGTAATTCCCCCACGTGGGTAGATTCTACGTGGCTGGCCGTGGAGATAATTACACCACAGGAGAGAGACTGGAGCGGTCTCCAGGGGAGCCTGTGCTGCCTGGGTGGGGAGGGCACTGCTGGGCACCCACCCTCCCCTCGGGCAAAGGGCTCTCAGGCCTGGCTAGGCTCCCCTGCCCACCTGCACACCTGTGAGACTCCAGGCGTTGGAAGTGCAAATGCACAAGTGAACGTGAGGTGGCAGAAGTCAGGATAGCGGTGACCCCCGGGGCTCGAGGGGACAGTCCCAGGGAGGGGCTGGCGGGACACCCTGTTTCCTCACCTGGGTGGTGGCCGCTGAACTTATCCAGCTGCACACCTAAGACCCATGCATTGAACACTACGCACCTGACAGTCCCATCTTTTCAAAGTCGAGAGAGAAGAGAGCGTCGCCTAAACCAATGTAACCGACGTCAAGAGCTCACAGGTCGTAGAAAAATGGCACAGAGAGGACCCGGCCCCAGAGACGCCAAGCGCCTCCCTGGGATGCACAGCTGGCAGTGCCAAGAGCTGCTGAGGACCCTCTAGTCCACTGAGGGATCCCAGGGGTCTGACGGAGCTCGACAGAGCAGGAGGGGAGCTGGCAGCCCCAAAGCTGTCTTCCTATTAGTCCACCTCCCCTCGAACCGGGGCAGGTGCCCGAGCTCGGAGCCGGCTCCCCACGGCAGCCCGCCTGTTCCGGAGAGGGGCCCAGAACCCCCACTGTCGTCTGCCCAGAGGCCTCACTCACCCACAGGCAGGACATTGATGCTCAGAAAAGACCATCGGCTCTCCAGGCAGGGCCCTGGGTCCTCGGGCGGGGGAGCCATCGTGGAGGGCGTGGCAGGGGGGCCAGCGGGCGAAAGCTGGGGCTGGCCGGGGCCACCAGCTGGGCGGGCTGTCAGCAGGAGGCAGGGAGAGGCCGCTCTGAAGTCCCTCTGCCCCCGGGGTCCCTGCGTCCTCTGCTGGGATGGAGCCCGCAGCTCATGACACCTGGAGAGGGGCAGGCAGGTAGGTGAGGCCGGCCTCTCAGCGGCTTCTCCACCAGAGTGTTGACTTTCCCTCTGTGTCAGGACTTGTCTCTCTTACAGGAGCCGCAGCCCTTCTGCTGCGCTGGGCTGAGGTACCTGCCGGTCCCGGGCCACAGAAGGAGCCACGGCCCGGCGGGGGCCCCTCAGCCTTCTCCAGCCCTCAGGTCCCCCCTGCACGGTCACTCCCAGGTCGGGGGCTCAGCACTTGTAGCCACCACTCAGTCTGAGCAGTGAATTGAGGTCACTTTGGCCTCTCAGGCCGTCCCCTGCCCCTTGGCCACTTGGTTGGGCTCCAAGCCCCCAACTCTCACCACCCAGGGCCCCCCCCCGCCCCCGGCTTCCTCATGTTCTCCCTCAGGGGTCAGTCCCGCCCCGGCCTTTGCTCAGGTTCCTCTCCTGCCTGGACTGTCCCTTCTTCTCTCCATCCGCCCAACTCCTCCTGCTGCCCCGGGAGCCGCTTCCAGGGGCCTCTCCCAGGCCACCCGCTCCCCCTCCGAGCATCCTCCCTGAGGCCACAGAGAGACTGCGGAGCGTGGAGGCCTTGGCCCCCTCTCATGCCCAGGCCCAGCTCCGGGACCTGGTCTTTGGATGGACAGTGGGACACCCAGGCCAAGCTGAGCCCACGGAGGGACAGGGCAGAGGGAGGGAAGGCCCAGGCTCTCCCAGGGACTCCTCAGAGCAGCCCTACCTCGCGTCCCCCCTCAAGCCCAGGCCTCTTGGACTCCCTCCAACGCCCAAGAAAGAGGCCCCCCTGCAGTCTGCCCTCCCTGCCCTGGCCCACCCCCTCCTGGTCCAGCAGCAGACCTGGACTTGGCCACCAGAGTCCTCCGGGGTCCTGGGCCTCAGAAGGGAAAGGGAGTGGATGCCAGGCAGCCCACAGGCCGGGGCACCTGGGACTCGGCTTGTGCTCCCGGGGAGGCCTCTCCCGCCCTCCCACAGCCTCCTCAGGCTGCTCCCCTCTCCGGGAAGCCCTGACTGCCCGGCCCAGGCTCACCCACAGGAGTGGGGTCTCTCAGCCCGGCTCCCCCAAGGCCAGTGCTGGCTCCGCTGCGGGCTCCCGGGCAGCACCACCGCTTCCTGGTGCAGTGGGAGCCGGCGCCCTGTCGGGACACGCCTGCTGCGCGCGGGCCGGGCGTGGGGCTCCGGCTGGGCTGGCACAGTTGAACCGAATTAGGCAAGAGCACCAGCCGCAAGCCCAGGCGAGGCCGCTGAGACCATGAGGTCAGCGGTTGGCGTGGGCCTGGCTGCCCCGCGCCACAGGCTTCCCTGAGCCCCTCTCCGCCTGTCCCCACCGCCGGGCCCCTCATGACGCCTCTCACAGGTTCTGGGGCCAGCAGGAACCGATGGGGGGCAGGGGGCTGGAGCAGGGTCGTGGCCAGGTGGGGAGGGGCCTGCGGGTTGCAGAGGCCATAGCTGACCATGCTGCAGGGCTGTCCCCAGCTAGGCCTGCCCCTTCTCTCACAGGTTGACCCCAGGAACCCAGGCCCCCAGATTAAGGAGGGGGCACCTCCCGTCTCAGGCCTCTGCTCAGATCCCGGCCCAGACGCCAACAGGAACTGCCCACTGCCCACAGGTGCCCACTTACACTTACAAGTGGATCATTCAGCGCCAGGCTGGGCCAGGCAGGAGGGCAGGGCAGANTGCCAACGGGAACTGGCCACTGCCCACAGGTGCCCACTTACACTTACAAGTGGATCATTCAGCGCCAGGCTGGGCCAGGCAGGAGGGCAGGGCAGAGAGGTCCACCGGCCCCCTGCCCCCAGCAGCCAGTCCTGTTTAATCATGATGAAGGGCCCAGAGAGGCCAGAGGGTGGCCGGGCCCAGAGCCAGGGGCCCAGCCTGTGATGCCCAGACCTACAGATCCATTTCCAGAGAGCGGCCAGCCCTCTGCCCTGGAAGCCCCGCCAGTCCACCCTTCCCCGCCCACCCTTGCCCGGGGGGGGGCTCTGTACCCCTGAGACCCTCTCCCTACCCTGGATGGAGGACTTCCGTGTGCCCCACAGAGCGGCTGCCCCCGTGGGAGTGTCGGAGGGGCATCCCCTGCAGGCCCCAGCCTGCTCCCGGACGTCCTGCCCTCCGGCCCCCACCTCCTGTGCCGTCTCCCAGGAAGCGGAGCCACCACGCCCACCACTGGCATCCCTGGCTCTGGGAGACCCAGGGCCCCAGCCTCTGAAGTGTTGGGGTGGGGCGTTCTCTCCCTCCCAGCCCCCCGCCAGCCACCCAGACCGTGGAGATCCTACTCTCTGGAGGGAGAAACAGGCCCAGAGAGAGCAAGACCCCCCTCAACCCATCTAGTGTGGCTGTGCTGGGACAGGGCCG